TAAAACAACTTCACCAGTAGAAAATGGCGACACATGCGAAGCAAGAGAGGTTTCAGCTTGGAGAAAAAAAGTTCGAGAACTTCGACTCTCATTCTCCAAAGAGCACTTCTGAAACTACCCTTTTCGAGCACCAGAAGGTTGTGAAAGTCCTAGGAGCTGCTATATGTTTGCAAGCTCAGCGCGGCAGGTGCAAGTCCATTTGAGCCATTTCTTTGCCTACCGCCCTACCGCGGCCACTGTTCACCACACTTAAACAGCTAAGTCCTCTGCCAGGTAGGATAGGTAGGTGAATGTCCTGAATGTTCTACATGTGAACTGCACCAACTGACAGCACATCAGCGCTTTTCGCAACTGGCGAAAGGTGGCAAGCCGAGCGCAAGCTGCCACGGCTGTGGTCGATTTGCTGGGCATGTCAACTTAAAAACAAAGACCACCATTGCACTTTGGGAAGCTTCAAAACAAAGTCACATAAGGTTAGGCAAGGTTACTACCTGCCAAAGCGTTTGCAAATGTTTGGCAGAGTGAAGTGTCGTGAATCAACATCTAACGCACTGGTTCAGCCGCAGGAAGCCTGACATGGTGACCATTGACACTTCCCCTTAGCGACTTGGCTTTGTCGATCAAATGTGCAGCCTTGTGCAGCCTGCAGCAACGTTACCCTCCGGGCAACGTTGCATCAATACTCAAAGCATCTCAAAGTATGTCAAACTGGACCATGTTTTGCAGCAACTAAACTTGCTAAACTTGCTATTGGAGCTGCCCCGTTTGTTTCACCACTGGAAAATCCTCAACACATCGCGGGTTTGGTTGGATCCGTTGGCCAGAAATCCTGGCGCATCGATGACTCCTTAAGCAATGCGAGTCAGTTCTCACGACTGTAAAACCGGTTTCTTATGGAGTTACTATGGAATTCAATAATCCGCCGACCCCGGCCTTGGCCAAGGCAGGGGCGGCGCCTGGGACCACCGCAGGTGTGGAACTTCTCCTTCTTCGCTTTCCACGGTCAAACCCATCTTGCAGCCATCAAGCTACATCAATAGCTTCTTATGGCCACTCTTGCAGGCAACAGGCACCCCAGCCAACATGCACCCCAGGGCCACACATCAATGGCTTCTTATGGGCGTCCAAGTCTGCCCTTTGCTTCTTATGGGCGTCCAAGTCTGCCGTTTGCCAGCCCTAAAACCCTCCAAACCCTTAAAACGCTCCAAGCCCTCCAAACCCTTAAAACCCTCCAAACCCTTAAAAACCGTAAAACCCTTAAAACGTTGACTTGGCATGCTTCATCCTGCAGCCAACAGCCACCCCGCGCCACACATCAATGGCTTCTTATGGCCACTCTTGCAGCCATCCGGTTCTTATGGCCACTCTTGCAGGCAACAGGCACCCCAGCCAATTCTTATGGCCACTCTTGCAGGCAACAGGCACCCCAGCCAACATGCACCCCAGGGCCACACATCAATGGCTTCTTCTGGGCGTCCAAGTCTGCCCTTTGCCAGCCCTAAAACCCTCCAAACGCTCCAAACCCTCCAAACCCTTAAAACCCTCCAGGGCCACACATCAATGGCTTCTTATGGGCGTCCAAGTCTGCCCTTTGCTTCTTATGGGCGTCCAAGTCTGCCGTTTGCCAGCCCTAAAACCCTCCAAACCCTTAAAACGCTCCAAACCCTCCAAACCCTTAAAACCCTCCAAACCCTTAAAAACCGTAAAACCCTTAAAACGTTGACTTGGCATGCTTCATCCTGCAGCCAACAGCCACCCCGCGCCACACATCAATGGCTTCTTATGGCCACTCTTGCAGCTAACCGGCACCCCAGGGCCACACATCAATGGCTTCTTATGGGCGTCCAAGTCTGCCCTTTGCCAGCCCTAAAACCCTCCAAACGCTCCAAACCCTCCAAACCCTTAAAACCCTCCAAACCCTTAAAAACCGTAAAACCCTTAAAACGTTGACTTGGCATGCTTCATCCTGCAACCAACAGCCACCCCGCGCCACACATCAATGGCTTCTTATGGCCACTCTTGCAGCTAACCGGCACCCCAGGGCCACACATCAATGGCTTCTTATGGGCGTCCAAGTCTGCCGTTTGCCAGCCCTAAAACCCTCCAAACCCTTAAAACGCTCCAAACCCTCCAAACCCTTAAAACCCTCCAAACCCTTAAAACCGTAAAACCCTTAAAACGTTGACTTGGCATGCTTCATCCTGCAGCCAACAGCCACCCCGCGCCACACATCAATGGCTTCTTATGGCCACTCTTGCAGCCAACCGGCACCCCAGGGCCACACATCAATGGCTTCTTATGGGCGTCCAAGTCTGCCGTTTGCCAGCCCTAAAACCCTCCAAACCCTTAAAACGCTCCAAACCCTCCAAACCCTTAAAACCCTCCAAACCCTTCAAAACCGTAAAACCCTTAAAACGTTGACTTGGCATGCTTCATCCTGCAGCCAACAGCCACCCCGCGCCACACCCCTTAAAACGCTCCAAACCCTCCAAACCCTTAAAACCCTCCAAACCCTTAAAAACCGTAAAACCCTTAAAACGTTGACTTGGCATGCTTCATCCTGCAGCCAACAGCCACCCCGCGCCACACATCAATGGCTTCTTATGGCCACTCTTGCAGCCATCCGGTTCTTATGGCCACTCTTGCAGGCAACAGGCACCCCAGCCAACATGCACCCCAGGGCCACACATCAATGGCTTCTTATGGGCGTCCAAGTCTGCCCTTTGCCAAGTCTGCCCTTTGCCAGCCCTAAAACCCGCCAAACGCTCCAAACCCTCCAAACCCTTAAAACCGCCTCCAAAAACCCTTTAAAAACCGTAAAACCCTTAAAACGTTCCCTTGGCTCTTCATCCTGCAACCACAGCCACTCCCGCGCCACACTCATGGCTTCTTATGGCCACTCTTTCAGCTAACCGCCCCAGGGCCACACATCAATGGCTTCTTATGGGCGTCCAAGTCTGCCGTTTGCCAGCCCTAAAACCCTCCAAACCCTTAAAACGCTCCAAACCCTCCAAACCCTTAAAACCCTCCAAACCCTTCAAAACCGTAAAACCCTTAAAACGTTGACTTGGCATGCTTCATCCTGCAGCCAACAGCCACCCCGCGCCACACAGCAATGGCTTCTTATGGCCACTCTTGCAGCCAACCGGCACCCCAGGGCCACACATCAATGGCTTCTTATGGGCGTCCAAGTCTGCCGTTTGCCAGCCCTAAAACCCTCCAAACGCTCCAAACCCTCCAAACCCTTAAAACCCTCCAAACCCTTAAAAACCGTAAAACCCTTAAAACGTTGCCTTGGCATGCTTCATCCTGCAACCAACAGCCACCCCGCGCCACACATCAATGGCTTCTTATGGCCACTCTTGCAGCCAACCGGCACCCCAGGGCCACACATCAATGGCTTCTTATGGGCGTCCAAGTCTGCCGTTTGCCAGCCCTAAAACCCTCCAAACCCTTAAAATGCTCCAAACCCTCCAAACCCTTAAAACCCTCCAAACCCTTCAAAACCGTAAAACCCTTAAAACGTTGACTTGGCATGCTTCATCCTGCAGCCAACAGCCACCCCGCGCCACACATCAATGGCTTCTTATGGCCACTCTTGCAGCTAACCGGCACCACAGGGCCACACATCAATGGCTTCTTATGGGCGTCCAAGTCTGCCGTTTGCCAGCCCTAAAACCCTCCAAACCCTTAAAACGCTCCAAACCCTCCAAACCCTTAAAACCCTCCAAACCCTCAAAAATTCAAACGAGACCCCAAAGCCAGATCAATAGCTTCTTCTTGGCGTTCCAGCTTGTCGTTTACCACCTTTCTCTTTCACAACGCCGTCCTTGACTGAAAATTGGCTCCCGCAGACCGTTCGATGGTCTATTTTCCCTGTCTTGACGTCACTGGCCACATTCCCTTTGCAAACGGGGCAAATGTAAACATACGCTTTCTCCTTATATATACACATATATGTATAATACATTATAATACTGTATATATATATATATATTGTAACTCCTCGAATTTCTTGTTGCGCAGCAACGACCGCAGGCAACGGCCATCGCGACACTGCTCGCGTTTCACAATGACGGACGAGACGACAAGCATCAGACGCCCATGCGGCGAGTCGTTGAACGGAAAGGTTCTTTGGGCTCCCAGAACTTGTTGAAGCTACTCTGACCTTGAATACCCAGGAATATCACCAGAAAGTCTGGGAAAAAGAAGAATTTTGGTGTCAGCAGGAATTAGGATACATGATCAAGGCGGTTAGGGAAGATGGTAATTAGTTTGATTCGGAATGATGTGGATCAGGCCATTAGATAATTTATAGAACTTGATGGCAAACTGCAAATAGTGTCCGGAAAAATCAGCTCAATGGTTTTTTCACATCTCCCATTTGTAGATGAGGGGACTCAAACTCCATGGCGCCACGAGGATTTTCCTCGGAAATCATCAGATGATTTGGGAGTTCAGACTTTCTAAGCTTTGCACCTGACAGCAGTCGTTGCAGATTTTCTGCGATTGCTGCCACCGATCTGCGATGTGTTTTTTGTTGGGGGGACAAAGCGGTGGAGGTAGGCGATGAATGGAGATGGGGAATCAACACAGCGAAAACAGGGGTTTCGCAACATGGAGGTACCCCAATAGCTGGATGGTTTATAATGGAACATCCAAAAACAAATAGATGATTTGGGGATATTTGGGGGTACCCCCACTTTAGGAACCCCCAAATGGGTATGAACTCACATGGTTCCAAAATGGCTCTCCAGCCAGCCACAGGTTGATCGGATCATCATATTTTCAACACGCCAGAGTTCCCATCTGGGTTTAACAATGTTTAGGCCTAGCCGTTTGCTGGGCTTCTTGAGTGGCTCTATGTCTGCGCACTTCTTCCTCCACCCTTGAAACGGGGTCGGCGGCACCAGGGCGTTAGCCCATTTATAGTTGATGTGTTTGATGCATGTTGCATTTGTTTTTGCACACACCTTGTTCCAACACCATGATTTCCATGATCAAAAGCACAACGACTGTCGACACCGATTCGATAACTCGGTGCGCAGACTTTCCCGCACCTGCCGTGCCCAGCACCAGGGCACACCACCATCCCACAGTGATCTTGGAGCCCAAAGAGCGATCCTCCACGAACAATAGCAATAGAATAGCAATAGAATAGCAATAGAATAGCAACAAAAACTGGAAAAGGCGGAGTTTACAACACATGGATCTGAGATGTGAGAAGTGCGAAGCTAAGTATAGTGGAATTGAATGTTCAATGCCAGGACTAGAGGGGCACCTTCAAATAGCCCGCGCAACTTAGAGTTTCTTTGGACATCGCTCGAAGATACTCGAAGTACTCTAAGTTGGTTGCCAAAGCACTGTACAAACCCTGGAAACGAACCAGAATCTTGTACAGGTTAGCTTGACATGCTTGACATCTTGTGACATTTGGTGGTTAAACAAGGCCTAAACATGTAGCGGCTAAACAACCTTGCTATCCCGTCCAGACGAGGCAGAAGATCAGGCATCCACAGCCGATGAAGACTCCCACGGCCTCTGGTGTGGCTGATCCACAGGTAGGAACAGGTAGGAACAAAGGGATAGAGTTCTGCGAAATAGATGGAAAATGTGGGGAAAATGATGGAAAATGATGGACATTGAGCACGAATGAGAAGTCACGGGTATGAACACATATGGGGTCTGACATCTCTACTTAAACACCTAATTTCCCGGATATGTGTTGATTTAGGGTGCCTGATTCTGCCTGTTGAAATTAGAATTCGTTAGATATAATATATATATATATATGTCACATGTCTGTGAAATGCACGGCTGGGAAACCAGAATTAAGATGACTCAAGGAAACACGTAAGGACATGTGAAATGTTGGTCTCAAGGAGCTGCAGAGATTCCGGCCTGTAGATATTTCTCACATTTGGTAACCTTGACATTGCGTACAAAGCACAGTCCGAAGATAAGTCCTGGCGGATTCAAGAAAAACATCATTCGACGTCAATTCGACATTGAAATGAACCAGGTCACCAAGAGGACCAAGAGGACCAAGAGGACCAAGAGGTCATGACTGCCTTCTGGGGACGTGTGTTACTTCTTGTTTCACCTTGGACTGGTGATAGACCGAAAAATGGACCTGGAGCTCTCAGCACTCAAAAAAAACACTTGGATTTAAAGTGATTTAGAGCTGCAAGCTTTTCTGAAAGCTTCTCGGATCGTCAGAGGGTCAAGTCTTCAGGTTCTGAAGGTTCTCTCTTTGGGCTTCGATCAGAGGGACTGAAACAGACTGTTCTCCATGTTGTGCTTAGCTAAGAGATTGCAACTGATGCCTATTTCAGAGAAATTTCAGATGCCATGCTTTTCTCGGTTTGGGCATCGTCTATGAATTAGACAGGTGTCCCTTTACTGCCCAGCCTGCAAGATAGCCACCAAAATGTGCAGCATGTCCAGTCACATCGTCGGGCTTCGCCATTGCTCCAGCACCTACATCAAGCCCAATCCTCATTGTCCGCAGTACGAAGCCATCCGCACATTCCACAGTCAGGCTGACCATGGCTGACCAAAAAATCGTATGCACTGTGCACCATGCTGCATTGTGTCAAGCGGTGGAAATGGCACTTTCGGCCAAGTTACAGAAGGAGTAGAAGAAAGAGTCGAGGGAAGCGGTACCTAGAACAGGACAAACAGGACAAACAGGACACAGCCAACAGGACACAGTGTCACCCAAGTCAGCCTCACTTTTCTCGCTCCCATCTGTGAACATCTTTCCACATCTTTCCACCAGAAGTATCCGCCTGTTCTGCCCCCAATTCATGATCAAATCGGCCATGTGCATTGCCTCGGCGATGAAATGCCGGATGGTGCATTGCCCTGGCAAACATCCCCATGCTTTTGGATGGTCAAGGATGGTCAAGGATGGTCAAGGGATGTCAGGTGCCATCACCCTCGTTCACAATGAAGAGCAGGTCCATCCAAGTCCTAGCCCCTCATATCATTCATGTTCATTCAGAATTCATTCATATTAATTCATATTAGTCTATCAGGAATTACAAAAATGCGCGTTCGCGATCTCCGAACCGACTCTTTAATTTGCCTTTCCGTGGCAGGTTGTTAAGGTGTTTTCAAGTCCTGCTGTAGTCTCTTGAATGTCCCAATATATCCTTATTTCCTCGTTCTTAACTTAGAGCAACAAAACAAAAAGCGCAAAGGCACTTGATTCACTTGACTTGCTTGATTTGCATCTCCAGTTGATAATTTCCTCTGTTTGCTGCACAAGCTGCCATAAGGGCATAGCATCCTGCCGACATGCCAACAAGAGCTGAGTCATGGGGCCTGACACATCACGGTACAAAGTGACGCAGAATGATCAGAGCAAACCATGGGAAGCAACGAGATGCAATCGAGATGCAAACAAGATGCAAACCCATAAAAATACCAAATATATTTATTTGTATATGTATATATATATATATACATTTTACTATCATCCTCTCATACAGTTTGACCAACTACACTCTGTTGACCTGCCTCCATGCCATATGCCACAGCCCACCACAAATCACGCTCGTTTCGAACACGATGAATGTGCGCTTTGGGCCATGGAATCCTCTCACTGAAGGGCACATAGAGTTCCAACTCAATGCCAATATTTCAAAGAGACCAAGAACTATAGAACCAAAATGAATGATGATAATTTTAATGTATGATAATGTATGCGCAGGCAAGTCTTGCTGAAGTCTTTTGTGCCCATGAGCTAGTGTCCTTCCAGGGGAATGCCGGTGAACAGGGCGACTAAGGTGTTCATGGCGATATGAGTGAAGTGACCATGAGTAAACTGGTACGTGATCCTTGGCTCCGCGGAAGTCTGCGTCACGCAACTTCTGTAAACATCACAAGTTGACTCTGGTATTCAAATATATTCAAACATATTCAAATACCATCTCTTTGGGAGTTAGATTCAGATGATTCAGATAGTTATGAATTGGCATGAATTGCCTATATTGCCTTTGACGTGCTTTGAGGATCAGGTTTGCCTTGGATTTCAACCAATTCATTTGTCCAGCCCTTTTTTCCGGTGCCCAGGATTTGGTGTCGAATATGTTTCGGTTCCAGGCAGGTTTCAGGTGCCAGGTTTCATCAGGTTTAAGTTTACATGTTTGCTTTGTTTGCTTTGTTTGCTTTGTTTGCTTTGTTTGCTTTGTTTGCTTTGTTTGCTTTGTTTGCTTTGTTTGCTTGGAGTTTGTTTTCAAACGCGCCCTTTGCGCACTAAAATACTAAAAGTCTTCTATATTCGTACACCAGCTTTGCAACCCAGCAGAAGGGATTCCAGGGTTCCGTTCTGGCTTTGTTCCAGCCGGCGTGGCAACCAAACAATGCACCAGACCCACAAATTGAAACCCACTAAGCACTGGGAATTCGAGCAAAATCCCACGGTTTGGAATCATACTCCCTAAAATAACCATGTGGTACTCCCTATTTTCAGACAATCCCAGACAACTACGTACTGTATAATAAAAGAGAGGGCTCCTGCTGTTGTTCATTGTTCTGCCACTACACATTTTGTGCATGTGCTCTATAGCTTCCACACTCGAAACGCCAAGTTTCAACCTCCAAATAGCTTGCCAACGAAGATCCTGCAATGCGGTGATCAGGTCGCATCTATCACAAAAAGATAACACGTAGACAACACAAAATCTCGTTTCTGCAAAGGCCAAGACTGCCAAGACTGCTGCTTTACGTTTCAATTACATTTCAATTACCATATCCGAATTGTGATTGTATGTGATTGCGCTTAGGAGAGCTACTCCTGATGACCTGATCTAAAAGAGAAAACTGCGTCCACAAGAGGTTTGATTGAAGGATTGTTGACTTTTCAAATGGCTTTTCAGAAGTGGAAAAGGGAAACAGATTCATCAGCCATTAGCCAGGCATTGAGCCCTACTGGGCCCAGTACCAACTTCAGAGCTTCAGAGGTGTTCATTTCAAATTCCAAAACCTCTGCGACTGCCCTGATGAAACGTCGCAGCTGGATCCCACTAGCTTTCCCTCCCGCTGCACAGTCCTCACAGTCCTGACACATTGCAGAAGAACAAATACGTTCATACTCTGCCAAAACAACACAAGCAAAGACACTCTGAGCCTTCAAAAAGAACACATATTAATAATCATTAATAAATATATATATATATCATTATATTTATAAAGAATAATATATATATATATAACATAAATGATATAAGCAAACTTGAGCTCTGCGGAGCTGAATGAGCACATGTCAGTGTCCTTTTCAAGTGGAGATGTAAACCACTTGGTACTATCTTTTTTTTCAGTTCCCTTTAAGACTCTGACCCTTTCATCACCATCCTTCGTTTTCTTTGCACCGTGTCCTTATGGGTTCGCACTGATGTCCACCCATTTGCAAAGGTATCTAGACCACCCTTTGCGAGGAAGATGTTCTCGTTCCTAGGCGAAGGCGAGGCGCTCGACGAAATTCAATGTGTGGAGATTCAGTGGAGATTCAGTGGAGATATGTCGAGATGTCGAGACGCAAACGAATCGAAGATGCCGGAAGCTACTCGAAGCTACTCGAAGCTACTCGAAGCTACTCGAAGCTACTCCGGAGTTCGATTCCAAGATGCGCTGTGACAGCCATGTAGATGGCCCCGATAAGCCAAAGCAGAACACAAATGATGATCTGCGCAGGGATGAATCTCAGACCTTATTCGAATAACTTCAAGGCATGTCAAGATCAAATCAAAGTTATTTTGCGACATTTTGGGCAGAGGATTGCGAGGATTGCCATTTTGGGCTTGGGGGCTTCCAGCTCATTCGCTGAGCCAAGATGCCATAAGTTTTCATGTGCTCAAAGTCATCCACTGCCTCCCAGCGAGTAGCAGGTACCGAGCATCTCATGATGCTGAAAAGAAGTCCTCCACAGGGTCCAGTCAGCGTGTCAGATCCCACCTCTCCCTCTACATCGGCCTCACCCATAGCCATGAAATCCTGGCACAAACGACGAAACTTCTCATTAGTTGCATAAAAACATGGCAAGTTTCTTCGGAATTTAAAAAAAAAAAAAACATATTTGGAAATAATACTATATATATATTATGTATATATATATATTATGTATATTATATATATATTATGTATATTATATATATATATATGTATATGTAAATGTATATGTAAATGTATATGTAAATGTATATTATATATATTATGTATATTATATATATGTATATGTAAATGTATATGTAAATGTATATGTGTGTGAATCGTGGTGAATCTGATTGAAACAACAAGTTTTAATCAAATAGACATGGCATGAATTGCCTTCAATATACTTAAAATATGTTGAATCCATACGAAACCTTTTTTAAAACCAGTATGAATAAGATTGTGCAAACGAGCAAAATGGCAGGCGCAGCGAAATGGCCTCGAGGTCAACATCGCCATCACCGTCAACATCTAGTATGCCTCGAAAACTTTTGGAGGTACTGGTACCACTGGTAGTACCACTGGTAGTACCACTGGTAGTACCACTGGTAGTACCATTGGAATGAGTTACAATTACCACTCGAGTTCTCCTGATTTCTCATGATTTTTATGGTTCGGTTTAATATGCGCACAAACGCTGCAATCACAATTACAATCACATGCCATAGTCATAGGATGTCATAGGTTGGCAGTTCAAGTGGAGGTGATGCTTCATGGATGCGCAGGCATTGCAATTCGTGAACCCCCGCCTGCTTTTTTCGATCCTTCACCAGTATCCTCCAGGGATCAAACGTGATCAAACCAAATCAAGCAAAGGGAAACACAGCTACACTTGAGGAAAACTTGCCGACTCTATCCTTGGACTTCGCTGTCGCGTTAAGGGGTAGCTCTAAAGACAAGAGGGAAGGATGGGGAAGGATAGGGAAGGATAGGGAAGGGATATCCGCAGACTGAGCACAAAGTATCACAGGTTTCTCGTGTGGACCCAACGGAGCATTGGGCCATCATGGGGGCATCAGAAGGCGAGGCTACCCCTCGACAGTCGGCTTTAGCTCCTTCGGTTCCACATCTCCGCCTTCTTCGCCGTTCTCTTTCCTTGTCACGACTCGGGAGAAAAAGAGATTGGTAACATTTGGTAACTGGGAGGAAAGTCCTGCAATATCTGGATTATCAAAAAGTGGTGCGGTTCAGAGCTCCTAATTCTCACATGTTACTACCTACACCCAGTAGTTGGTGGATGTTGGTTGTGTCTGACACTGCCCATCTGGAGTTCCAGGGATTTCTTGCCGAGATGCAGGGGCTTCTTGGGCTCTGCTTTGGCCTTTGGCTTTGGCTTCTTGCGTCCCTGCCAGAAACTCTACTGCTCTGGTGACACTCTGGCACTGAAGTGATGTGGTTGCACTGTGGCAAAGCATGGCAAAGCAATAAAAAAAAGACATGAAGCCGTTCGATGTGAGCTCAGCCCCAGCTGCATCCAGATTGATGCTCTTCTGTAGTTTTAGAAGGTAAACGAGGTAAACGAGGACACCAAAACCCGTAAGGGCTGCCAAATCAAGCTGGTGCAAACTCAAGCTCATGCCTTCCGCTGGTCAAACCAGCTCTCAACGAAGTCTACAAACTTTTCAACCTGAAATGTTGATTGTCAGAACATGTCAGAACATGTCAGAACTGTTGTACCCAATGTGTTGCTACACAGATCTGGTGCAACGAGACAACATGAGACAACAATATACAAAAAGGTGAGACTGTCCCTGAAAAGGTGAGACATGGTGAGACTGTCCATGGGACTAGCAGTCTATGGTCAGCTGGCTTCTCCGCTACCATATAATCAGGCTGAAATCCAGCTGTGTTTGGACACAAAAATTGGTTGAATTCCTCTCCTACAGCTACCTATACGAGCTTGTTCTGAACGGAAGAAATAGTGTATCGAATGCACAGGAAATAGAAACCAAAGAGATGGTGCAGAAAATGAATGATCAATGTTGCTGCGTAGAACAGAAGACGGAAGAGAGAGGAAGATACACAACATCTAAAATTCAAACCATGGGAAACTCTGTGGAAGCGCCCTCTCTCTGAAAGTGTTTCGCTGGATGTCAACTGAGGCATGGGCAGGTCCAGGCCTGTGGAATGGTCTGGAATGGTATGGAATGGTATGGAAACATGCAGAAACATCCTTTGTCTCCATTCAAGGAACTGGAGAAAAGCGAGCATTTTGAACTACTTAAAGAAGTAAAGTCACTCAATAAGTCACTTGGGCTTTGAGTCTCGGGCTTCCTTTCTTTTTCTTTTTCTTCCTCTTCAGGCTCTGCCATTGTGATACCGCAAAGCGGTGAATGACGTGGCTTGAACCAAATCTTCAGCACCACAAGTATCAAATGGCGACAGTTTCAAAGCCCAGAAAAGAGGCTGACCCCGCTCATCCAACCCTGAAACTGAGTAAAGAAACTAAGTTGGCTTTGTACATCTTTGTGCATCTTTGTACTTGCTAGGTTCATACATGTTTCCTGCATGTTCCTGTAAAACGCTGTCCAAAGCATTAGCACCGCACAAGGCTGTGCCGAATGGTAGGCTGTAGACTTGCCGTTCAGGTCCTGCACCGGATTCGGTGGGATCCAAGGTGAAGCGAAGTTTGTCTCTCCACTCAAGTCTTGTGGAAATGTCCCAACCACCTCAGATTTGCCTGCTGCATCATTCTGTCGAAATCTCCCTCCTCGGAGAAAAGCCCGGGTGATGACTGAAAAGTCGTCACGTAGCCTTCCAGCTTCGCCAAAGGATGCCAAAGGCATACGAGACTTTTGGTCCCAGAAAAGCTTCAGTTTGCACAGGAGGGCAAAAGATGCGTTTAAAACAAAAAAAAGACAACCAGAAAAACAATGGCAGCTATTTGCACCGGAAGAATTTCTTTGATCAGAGACTGACTTACCAGAACCCCTCAGAACCATTCAGAACCTACTGTGTGCATGTTGGCGAAGCCCCGCCTGAAGCTTCAATGGTCTGATCAGTGGGCACATTCAGGGCGTAGAAGGTCAGATTGATCTTCGGGAGAGACACCTGTCACTTTGACAATGCATTTTGTGCAAAAAAAATCTCCGTACGGCCTCTGTTTCTTTGTACATTCACCCATCCTAGATTTGTATACCCATGTGATGGCGCACACATAGTTTTCTCATTTTCTCCGTTGCCTTGGCTTCTCTACGACTATGCTGTTGAGTTGCATTGAGTTGCTTACCTGAAAGAGTTCCTCGAACAGTGCCAGTTCTGTATCACTGTCATCCAAAACTGAGAAACTGATTGACACGATGAGTGAGAAGATGTGATAAGATAATTGTAAATTATTGCCATCACCATGGCATTCTTTCTGCTTCCACTCTCGCACATTGGTATATACATATACATATACATACATATATATATATACACTGTAAGGAATCTTCATGGGCGAGAATACACTGTAAGGAAGTGGAAGCATGAAGTCGCACAAAGTCTTGAAATTGAAATCCATTGTGCTGCCAAAATCTGCCAATGCTTAAAGATCTTCGAAGATCTTAAAGGTGGACTCCGTGCCTGCTCTTTAGTCTCGCTGTCTAGCAAGCGAATGAGAAAGGTAGTGGAGGTTCCAGACCTAAAGCGACTCATGAAATCAGTAAAGGGGTCTTGCTTAGTCTTGCTTAGTCTTGCTTCTTTACAATGTGCAACTTAATAATATTTTGAACCGGAGCCAGAATTCGATGTTTGAAGTGTTCAGAATTTAGAATCGAACATTGGCCCACGGTCATTCTGATCATTCTGACATGCGTGAACACATGATCAGAACTCATTCATGTCTGTGAAGATTGCCTAGCATCTCGCCAAGGGCCCCACATCATGCTGATATGTGCGAGATGCTCATCAGTCGATGCCTCAGAATGTAGCTTTGTTCCAAAAGCCAATTGCCACGTTGAAAAGGGAAAGGTTGGGAGCCACGTTGGGAGACTTCACAAGATCTTTCCGTCAATAAGAAATTTATGCAAAGAGGCTGCAAACGGCAGTGACTCAGTGTGACCCAGTCAGACTCAGTGAGTCTGGGCCCAAAGACGCCATTGTCAGGACTGCGAGCTTCATATTGCGAGTCTTCGCTTGCAACTGGCGTCGAGTCAATGTCTCTATCAAAATCAAAAATACAAAATCCTAGCCATGTACTCTTTGCTGCTTTGAAAATGCTCGTGGATAGCCCTCAGCTTCTGAAAAGCGTGCCGCCTATCTCAAGCTGTAGGTGTCTGCCATTGAAGCTCCCTACCTCCCCAGGCAGCAAAGGCGTCAGAAAAAGGGAATGGCATGCAAGTGTCGCAAACGAGGCACCTATCCAAGATACTGAATGATAGATTCTGAATGACATGAAATATATCTAGATACATGCATAGTTATTTTTATTTATTTTCATGACGTATGCAGTTTGTACATGTACGCATGCCTGCAAATTGATATTGCAATATGTATTATATATATATATATTATATATATATATGTATATATATACACACATGCTATATACGCAAGAAGACCCCTCGAAACTCCAAAGTGCAGTCGTACTGCACTCATTTTCCGAATCGTTGTATTTCTGTCAGCAAATGCATCCAGGGAGAAAAAGTGTACAGTTCTGTATGAGAATGGCTGAGAGAGAAACAATACTGGCACCTCCAAAATAAATGTAGCATCTGACTCGAAAAGATTCAAAAATTGTTACCCCTTTTAGCAGATGCCGCACTCTTCGAACTGGCCCTAATCCTTCAAGAGTGCAGCATACATAACGTGAAAGCAGAGTACATGCCATGTATGTTTTTTGGAAATATTGCATTTCTCTGAAGAAAAACGCTATCACTTTTTAAGAGGAGTATGTATGCGAGCAAATGCATTGTTTTTGGCAAACGCAACATTTTGAGCGAAGCAGCCTTCCTTTAAGAAATTTATGTTCTTTAAACATGTGTTTTTCTTCCAAGAAACTTCAATCGCAGAAATTCAGGAAGATGTGGGATTCAGTTGAGTTCCCGTAGCCAAACGTGACATTCCCGTCCAGAAGTGCAGCGCATAGATTTTGAGAGGTATAAACTCTACCAGTTTGCACTCGAAATTTGGGTTTGGCATGGCGCCAGCCTCATCAAACACTAGATTTTTTGCATCGCCCAAATCTGGTCCTGGGAAGAGGCAGTAACAATCATTCCAAGCAGAAAATGCAACAAAACCGATTTTTTTGTGTTTGAAGTTTGAATCTGTTTGAATCTGTTTATATCTGGTTCATGCTCCTGCGCCGCCCAGGTTGCTATTTTCCACCTGGTTCAGTCTCAGTCTTTCGGGCCCATTACACCTCAGCTTGGGTTGAGTCTCAAGCTGATTCTGAAGTTTTTTTGGTATATAAAGTTTGCCACGGCAGGGGCCACAAAATCATGATGTTCCAAACACATGCACAGTGGATGATGGTATATATATGGAATTGAGGGGTGGTCCAATGGCAAGAAGGGCACAAATTTCGAAACAAAAAAAATCATATGTGTTGGGCTCCAGACTCTGAAGCAACTGCACTGAATGTCGCTAGCAGCACGACAAACTGAAGCGGCTGGAGCACACTGAAATGGTATCAAAGACAACACATGTCATCACACTTTACCCCAGAATTTGAACATGATCATCGTCGACATCAATTTATATCAAATTTCATTATTTTTACATCATTTACATCTGTTGCTGTCATTTTCAGGTTTCCGTATTGACAATGACGAACTGGGGTTCGTGCTCTCATCATCTGAGCCAACTTTCGGCCTGTTCCAGGTTGGCACTTGAAATTTAAAAAGAATGGATTTCGAACGGTTGCTGGATGTTGCTGGTACATGATCTTCTTGAAATTGACGAAAAACATCGAAAAACTCAATGATTGGAGAATTTTGTTCTTTGTTTTGCCGTGTCAGATCGATCCACGCCTCAGCTCCGACTGCGCAGCCTTTGTGCGCCGGGCTGCGGGCTTGAACCGCAGGGATTTTATGATCAAATATTTCATCAAATATCTATAAATATTTCACATAAAAGGAGAATCATGAACCATGAATCAAATATGTGATTTGACAAAAACCGATTTAGTTAGTCATGAATCATGGCAAATTCGGACCCAAATACACATGAGCACATGTTTACATAACGATTTCAATTACACGCCCGCAACACCAGGGTGAATCAAGTGATTGATTTACACGAAACGTGGATGAACACAACAGTTTCCAATCAAAACTATGTTTGGCATTAATGACTGTGAACCAGCCAGGATCAAACCGTTACAAGCAAGCATTCATCCACGTTTGCGTGCAAAATTTGTTCCAGCCAAAAAATGCGTCCACCATGCGCCGATGTGTCACTTAAGCGCCGGTACCCAATGTTATCCTGACACCGACACCCTGGTGCGGCAGCACTCTGTTTTCAAACAAATTCCGTCCCAAGTTCCAACGCCTAATTTTCTGAAATGCCGGCATGGAAACCAAGAAACCAACTGCGTATTTGATGGCAAAATCACTGTGAGTTGCGAACGCGTTTCCACGTGCAAACAATATTTTATTGAGATAAACATGCGATGGATTCAATCATATCAAATGTGTGAAACAACTATTTTTGTCAAGGTCTGGTTTGTGGGCATTTACAAACACTTGCACCGCAAAACCACATTCGATGCATGCAGAGCCAACAACAATACAGACACACACACACACATACACTAGAACAGAACTGGATCATTGAAGTGATCCGATGGGAATTGAATCCCGTAAACGTGCAGTAACAAGATTATTGATGTAACGTAGACCTCCATGTAGCTGTGTTCAACCCTGAAGAAGAAGTTCCAATAGTTGAGATCGTGAACAGAAACTTGACCTCAAAGTTCCAAATACATAGGAGCACCGAACAGAAACTTCACGACAAAAACCCAAAATAAATCAGTTGTCCAGATAGGGTTCTCGGCCTAGCCCTTGGCCATGTCCGTAAAAATACCGCCGTGAACGAAGTTTGAAATGACGCCAAAGGAAATCCCGGAGCGCGACAACCGTGTAGAAACGAAAAAGCAAGCAGGGTGCTTGGCTTAGCCGCGTGCCATTGCAGTAAATCTTAAAAAGCAGGTACGTCGATGAGAGTCCCCATCGATGTCACAGGCAACTGATGAGTGTCTTTGTTAGCGCCGGTCTCACCAGTGCCTCCGGCACCCCCTGCATCTGCTGACAATACAAACAGATAGAGGTTTTACATCTGTGCAGATGTTCCACAGGATTTTTTGCCTTTGTCGGAAGATAGCTCGGCTGTTTCACGGGAATCTATGAAGCTGCCTCAGAAGCACCAGAGTCAGTAGGGCGCCATGATGCCAAAGTCTGCAGTCCCTGAGCAAGAGCCTGTAGTTGGTTTGCAGGAATGCCATTGGCGATCGCAGAAGCAGAGAAGGGGTAGTACCTGACTCCGATTGGCCAAAGAGCGACTGAATTAACTGGGATGCCAATGCAGGGACAGTTGAGGTAGGTGAAGCAGTAGCCACCGGAAGTTGGTTTTCAAGGAAATAAGCAAAGGGATATCCTCCATGTCGAAGCGGTAAATCAAAGAACTGACGCCAGTAATCAGAAAGTCGAAAAGACATGGAATGCTTTCCGGTGAGCCGCAAAAAGAAATTCTCAGGTTTGAGTCGACTGAAGCCGTTGTTGTTCACTTCGTTGACCCAAAGTTCGCGGCGACCTTCGCTGTAAGTGTAGATCGTGAAGGTGATCGTGTGGACTGTTTGCTCCGTGTAGTATGTTCTAGGATGATAGAATTATTCCAAGTATCACAAACCGTGCAGACAAACTACATAGCGCGGGGATCTATAAAATCTAGATGCCCAAACAGGAGTATCACAAATCTAGATAGAGCGCAAATACTGCGCCTGCCAGCAAAATCGGCACTAAACTTCGCACTGTGGTAAAACAGCGATTTTTAAATGCGACCGTTTGGGTGTATAGTACCCCACTTAACGCCCCGCGCTGTGGCCGGAGACACATTTTAGTCGTTTCCTGGCGTTCGGTTGCAATCTTTTTTTTTAAGATCAATATAGTTTTAGAAAAAGAGCCACTACACGCTACACGCTGGACCTGTTTTGCTGGTTTTTTCCACGGTAAAAGGCGTGTAGTGCCACAACTGTCGTACTAAACGCTCACCCTCTGTAGGTTCAGTGTCACACACGCCGTAAATACCGCACCTGCCACCAAAATCTGTACTAAACGCTGTCAGTTTTCACACCGTGACTGCCAGAAGTATTGCACATGAAGCAAATCAAACCCGCAGGGGCGACAACAAAGTTAGCGCAAAACAGCGCGCTTTCTGCAAGACGGGAAAAAAGCATTTGCATCCTCTGTTGCAACTCCGGTTCTCGACCATGCGAATTTGGAGCAAAACAAACAATCTTTCAGGATGAGCCTGGCGGCAGCCTCGAGGCTATAGAAATTGCAACAAAACAAAAAATGTAAGGATGAGGGAGAATTTTCGAGGCAAGCCTCGACGGCTGAAATTGGAACAAATGCACATGAATGTCCATATTTTTAAACAGGCTTCACCTTCATTGAAAGGGCCGTTGCAACTTTACGCTTTACATGGGCCAATGTTCCTTTTTTTGACCGTCTTGGCTTTTCGCTGTCCCCTCTCGGTCTATTCCCAAATTGACATTGGGTGCGGGATAAAAATTGTAGCTGTGTTCGTATCAGCAAAAAATACACTTTCTAGGCACCAACACACCAACCCAGATCTAGGAAGTGTGTTAATGTGGAAAAGCTCCGTGCACAGATCTGCAGTCAGATCCAACGCTTCATCAAAATTTCTACTGGACTACGCAGGCAAACGCATACGTCAAACACGCACACCAAATACAAGCGCAGAGCGTGTAGTCGCAAACCTAATTAAACTAGAACACTGTCGTGTCAAGAAAACTGTTTCACCCTCGACTCCCACATGCTGACGTCGGACTCCTTCTTTTCGCTCCAGACGCAACACGATCAGTCACAGGGAAACACAAACACAACAACCAAAGAACAAAACAACAAGACAAAGGAGAAGAAAAAGGAAGAAGACAAAGCGAGATAATGTGTTCCCTCTGTCGGTCTGTCTTATGTCAAGTTAGGTGACACGGCAGCTCTGTTCATTAAATGAACTTCTGACACCACTCCCTTGGGCCGATGTCTCAACTGGTAAACTCAATTCTAGGTTTCCAGTTAGCAAACCTCAGGTTCTTCAAATAAAGGTTTGTTGAAACAATTCCAGCTGCTACAAATCTACAAACTCACTTTTCATTAGATGAATTCAAAAGGATTGAAACACTTCCAAAAGTTCTCAAAGCAAATTGGTTCTCATCCAAACGTGAATAACCAGCTAACTAAGGGGTCACGCTAGCGCTAGCGTTAGCTTCTCAAGAACGAAGTGGTTCACACAAGGTATTCTGTACAACCTTCTTCTGAATACAAAACGTAGTCGAAACAAAACGTTTCATCTCCAAATCAGTTCTCCACATAGAGATAGCATCTCATAGCTTCAAACCTCAATGTAGAGTAGAATGCTCTGTTCGACATTCACAATGTAGGTCAGCCAAATACAGTTGTATCGCTGTAGTCTTTCGACCACTGTAGTAGCCAATCCACAGTGTAAGGCTTAAGGCAAAATCGCGGAAGGACAATGTTGTCCTTGTAAGCGATGATCAAAGTCGTCGAAGAACAACGACATTCTTTGAAGCAATAAAAGACATAATCCAAGATCAAATGTCTGATCTGTAGATCACGATGACGATGATGTAGGTATTGTCCTCACAATACGGAAACATCTCATCACACAAACTCTCAGACAAATAAGATGAGCAAATATGGCCATTGTCCTCACAATGCCAATGCATCTTGCTGTCCCAAAACTCAGAGTATGGTAAATTCTCCCCATCCGATATTGCCAGCTAACTCAAACTCTTCTCCAAGAGTTTCCAGCTGTAGGTTCTCATCATTTGGAGAGAATAAACTGATCAGTGTCAAAGACACGATAAGAAATCTCAATGTCAAGCCAATGCAGGTATCTTCAGCTCAAGCAATAAGCTGTACCAGATTCATTCAGAATCCAGTATAAGATGTAGAACTGATCAATACACCACATTCTAGGTCAACATCGATCACTGACACTCTGAGTGTCATAAAAGATTGCAGGTTCAAAGGACAATAGAATATTGTGACCAAACTGCAGGTCCACTGCACAGATCTCTTCAACAACAAGTCGAATGTTGTCTACCAATCTTCCGTGCATAAAACTGTACCACGATGAAGAATGCCACGATGAGGAATGACATGTCGCTAGTCACCCTCACCCATAGGGTGATCAACTTTCACACCCCCTTTCGACATGGCATCTCATCTCACTACATTTACTGCATTGTACGGATGTTCAATCCTGTCTCAGTCCAGTGGGTCCAGATCGCATCCGTGATCAAAAGGTAGTCAAAGAAGAATACGTCGCTCTTCCAAAACAAAAATAGATGATGGAACATCATCCAAAACTCATCTCGTTCGACTCATGCACAATGTCGTACGCTCCTAATTCAAAATTCTTCCGTTCAGAGACGAAAGTAAAACTCACGCAACTCCAGTCATGACGATCTTCATGACATACAATGTTGCAAATACAAATCCTCGTAACTAGATGTAGGAATACCAAACTCAGTCCAAAGACTTCAAAGTCTTTCCAGTACCAAAATTGTCTTCCGACTTCCAGCTTCTCGGATAAACCATGGCGTCGATAACGCTATATCTACAGTGCTGTTGTCATCCGACAACAAACAAAGCAACGCAACGAAAACAGAACAAACACACACACACACACACGAGACCCAAGACGAAGACAGACGTCGCACGATTGGAGTCAACGCGAAAACAAAGGCCAACTGTTTCAGCTAATCCGCACCTTCGTGAAGAAGGTAGGCGTATGAAAAGAAAACGAAAGTGAAGCAGTATCACTCATGCAACTCATCTCAAATTCAAAGCTTTAGCAAAGTAACGTTCACAGTCACTGCAAAGTGAATTCGAAACATTCTGAATGAAAACGTTCACAGCTAGGGTTCAGACTAGCTAAGATCGGCACAGAAATCGCTGTCCCCCTTTTAACGTCTGATCCATCCTAATGATCTCGAAAATGTGAAACTTTTTGTTCAAGCCTCATATCATGACATGTAAGTACAATATTTCTACGTCAATGACATCAGATTTCCTGGAAGTTCTCAAACTAGTTATACTCAGATTCCGTCTGAGTTTCTTCCCAGGTTCTCATCATGTGCCATGACAACTCAATTGTACCATATGTTCATGACCGTATCTCCAACAATGAAGTTGAGTAACTGCTGCAACAAAGACTCCAAAACATGAACATACAAGCTCAAACATGCCAATCAACGCAATCAAGCCAATCAAAACAACTTCAATCTTTCTTCATGATGTCTCCCTCAGATCTGTTAGCAACTCCATGCAGATGCAGTTTCTGAATGCCTTCTAGAACGGTGCTCGCCATCATCATTGAGAGACATATGAAAACTCTGAATAACCTCAAACGACCCACAACATGCAAACAGGTTTGACAAGCATCCGCTTTCACTCGAGACACAACGTAAGCTTTGAAATACTTTCAGAATCTTCCGTTCCAAGACAACTCAATTCCAAGTTGTTCCGTCAGGCATAGCCCCCTTTTAAACTCGCACTTGAACTCAGATCGCACTATGTGCAAAATGTTCGCCATGCAGTCCCTAGAGACGAGTGAACCTCGAGCCGGTCAGAAAGCTCCAAAGAGGAAAACAACCGACTATTCTCTCTCTCATGCAGGACATGCCTCTGGATCAATCCAAATTTGAAGTGAGACATCCCTCTCACGGATAAATCCTCCGATAGTCCGTGCTGTTCTTCAAAACCATGTAGCCAAGCGGTGAGAAGGCAGCGGTGCCCGTGGCGGGATTCAGCTGCCGTGTCGGCGACACATTCCTCACACCACCTGTGCTTTCATCCAACACACAAACCGGTGGATTCTTCATGAACGGAACGTCTAGGTTCGCTGGATGCCCCATGGGTGGTTCACCCACCTTTGCTGGCGAATATCCAGCGAATGTGGCCACTGCCATGGCTGGGGGTGGTTGTGGAGGTGCAACTGCAGGTGCCATGGGTGGAGAAAGAACTCCAGTGGCCATATTGCCTGAGATGGGTGTCCCAGGCGTGATGGGCGTCCCAACATGCCCAGTAGGTGGCATCGGTGGCCCAAATTCGGATTCCTGAACTGGAGCCGGTGTCCCCACAGCTTCCATTCTACGAGCCACTTCCTTGATATTTTCTTGAAATCGGTCCATGGCTTCAAACAACTGTTCTAGGATAGCTGTCGTCCGACTGGCATCCTCGGTTCCCTTCGACACAGCTTCTTTCATCATGTCGCCGACGGTTCGGTTCATAGACCATTCGACAGAATGGCTCATGCTTGCTATTGACTTAGCAAGTACGTCCATAGATCGGACCAAGTCGTTCTGCAACGACTGTGTGTTGCCGATCAACACCTCAAGTTTCTCACTGCTCGTCTTGAGGGCTGCCACCATGGAAGTTACTCCAACTGCCAGTGATGTACAGGCTGATAGGACTTCCAATGGGCTCTCTGGGTTGGGTTCCGGTACATTCAGCTGGGGTCTTGGTGACCGAGATCTGCCACGCTCTTCATCCTCCTTGCTATCAATCACAGGCGACTTGCTCTGATCATCCTGATGCCCATGTTCACCATGCTCAAAGCCAGACTCACCAAGGGTTCCCGGTCCCGGTATGGTTGGGTTCTCCGCTGCATTCATCTCAGTAGGAATTGCGGAACCAGATGTGCCTGCCATGAAGTTCTCTAAACGACGTGTCAGGGCTAGGTGCACTCTTTCTGACAGTCCCGGGGAGATGTACAGCTTGGGCATGCTATGCATTCCAGAGACTCGCAAGACTCATGCCGACAGATATAATAACTTAATCAATCGAAGGAAGAACAAAAACTCATCTTTCTCTCATCCTAAGGTGCGTGCCTCACACCTTAATAGATGATTCACACCTCCGATAAAGACCACACTCACTATTACCCCAAGATGCGTGCCGCACATCTTGACAGGCAACGTGCAGTCAATTACATCTCGATGTTTCAGACAAAACGAAATAGTGCAGACTTGTGGTGGCTTGCAAAATCCATTCACATCCAACTGTCAACTCATGTGCAACCTTTCACATGAGTGCAAAACAGATCACAGTGGTTTGTGCGCACGAAACCCATAGACATGTCATGCAGCAAAATGAAAACAGTGCAAAACTCATGACAGCTGAAATCAAAACTGCTCAAACTCGGTTTCACAAGTCCAAATTCTGTCCAGTCCGAAATCGTCCAAAACTCTGAAATTTCCAAAAAATGAATGAGCGTGTCAACAAAAACTTCCAAGACATCTCAAAGCTACAAATCCACGCCGGTCTCAGCTTGACAGCTCTCTGCACAGCATTTTGTATTTTACACTGCAACTGCCGATCGTCCTTGCCAGAGCTTAGTGTTACAACCCAGCTAGCAAGTGAATCAAAATCTATAAGCAGCAACCTATGTTACAAGCCCCTTAAACAATTTTCATGGCTTCCGATCCAAACTTGTACAGGAGGTTGCCGTTCTCGTCGAACTCCAAAGCCTTCATAGTTCCTTGCCAGCGATATTCGTTGGGTTTATATTTCAGAAGGATGCCTGCCTCGGCTTTCTGGAGATAGCCGATGGCAGTCAGCTCGACCTCAACCAGTACATAGTCCTTGGCACAGAATTCACCTTTGGGACCTTCTGGAGTCCAATCATTGAAATACTGTGCACGTTCAACGGCGGCAATCAGGTCCTTTCGTAGCCCAAAACCAAAACGTTTGGAGTAATCGTCAGGTTGGATCTCCTTGCCATTGTTCAAGTCATCGAATTGCTTAGGAGTCAAAGCCAACCAAAGACGGATAGACTCCATTGCCGTTAGTATAACAGGATCTCGAAGCTATCTTCAGGGCGAATCGATATACAAGACACTGAGCCAAAAGTTGTCTCATAATAGTGCAGCTAAAATGGAATGGAACATGTATAAACATGAGAAGTCTAAACACGCAGCCAAGTCAAGTTCAACAAAAACACACAGCTCCATACTTCGTCTCTCACTTAGACAGTATGTCGAGCCGCAAACTGACATCACATTACATTCCTTCCAGTCAGTTTCACTAAACCTGTAAACCTGAGCCTATGCACGTCTGCAACACAGCTCGTGTCTGAACCTTGCAACGTCTTGCAATCTGGTTCACATTTTGACTTCATACAACCTTTTGTAACTCACTTTGGAACCTATGCAGCGCCTCTGCCATCCAGCTCCTATTTGAACCTAGGCAACTCCTTTGCCATCCAGCTCATTCTCATTTGTTGTATGTCAAACCTATCTCAACAAAACACATCACTCTGGTTTCACACGTTTCGTTTCCGGCTTGTTTTACCAGTGACATGTTCCAAAGTTCTCAAGTCAATTTCTCTCATGGCACGAATCGTCAAACCTTTCCAATGACTTCGTCCGCCATGCTCAAGTTCAATTCAAACACATTCAAACGAAAATTGCAAATCTCAAGTCCCAGATTCCCTCTTTTGCTTTTCACTCTGAGCCACACGCCAACGCACAAACTACACTACCGCTCTATCCCTCTCTCAGGATACTCTGCAAAGTTCTACTGCTGCAAATCTTGTTAATCTCCATGCCAGCCTTCTGGTAGTACAAGATGTCCAACCAACATGGCCCAAGGTTCTCAAAGGAAACCCTCCAGTGCCAACAACACCAAATCCATCTTGCTCGTAAACTCCATCACTACCAAAGAAAGTGCCACGTCCAACGCAGGCAAATAACGCTGGCAATCATCATTATAAGGACTATCGAGTCCATTTCACAGCCAAGACTGGCTTGCAGATGTCTCCATACTCAGCCATCCATCACGAGAGACACATCACGGTATAGCCGCTCTAAGCCAAAAGGGGAAACCTTGCATTCAAGCTATCTTCACACAAAGTTCCGTCAGTATGACAACAACTTCAGAGTACCTGCCTGTCTCAGGGTTCAATGTACCTTCTCTGCATCTGTCCCAGTCTTTACGACTACATCCGTTCCAAGTTTCACCAAAACAAACTGCAACAATCTGAGCAACAAAAGTCATTCCTGACCTGCCTGTGACACCAACCAACTGTGCAAGTTCCAGTTCAAACAAAAACATGAACACAAACTCACAATAAAAGGTTTCTGTTTCGTTTCTAGTTTCATCAAACAGTTTCCACTTCCTACACAGTCCAGGCCGTCTCCAATGACTCACTACATGTTCCACTCAAGCACATTCACAACTGCAGCTCAAAACCACGAATGCTACCTGATGCATCTGAGAACTCAAAACCAACATTCCCAAACAGGCAAACACAGTCAGACTATGTTCATTCTTACTCGCAATCCGTTGTCAACCAACAACATCAACACCAAGTTCTACCGTGCCTTCAGTGCCATGACGGCTACTACCTTTCTCTCTCTCTCACAGCACTTCCGTGCCTAAACTGCCAGGCCAACCAAACTGCCTCAAACTTCAGTTCCAAGGTCACCAGTGCATACATCCGTCCAGGTCCACTGTTCCTGCACACTACCGAACCTCAGGTGTTCCACTACTCACGTCTTATCTCAATATTACACAGATTTCTCATCTTACTCATGTGGCAATCCAACTCTTTCATGAACCAAGGTCCTTGCCAAAGCACAGCCCGACCCTCCAGGTTCCCTTTCTAGGCCACAAATTCCTACTTTCTTATAACCATCTCCAGGCATGACGCCAAGCTCAGTAGCACCACGCACTGTGCACTCCGTGCGTCCAGGATCAACTACAACCTGACCAACCTGTCGAGATGTATTCCTTTATCATAATACTTTTCTTTAAAGCTTTCCAGTGATTCTCCAGGCTCTCAATGCCAAAATCACCAAGCTTCTCTACAACAAAATGCAAATCTCACATGCAACGCAACTGCAACACACGCAGCTCAGCCATTGACATCCATTTTACTCACATTCACCACTCTTGTAAGGAACTCCATCGCCTATACCTATCACATGCCTCAGACAAATTTACGCACAGAGGTACTTCATCCTTGCAATGGTCTGTGGTACCTTGCTAATATATGCTCTCGTACTTCACAAGACTGTCTCTGCAATTCAGCCTCCAATGACAGGAGATTGTCCTTCAACATAGCGATGATATCCAAGTTGTTGCGACTAATTCGAACATCCTCCAACAGCGGTACAAGCCACTCCAGAAGTGCGATCAAAGTCTGTACCAACCTCAAGACACTTGTCACCCTCTCTGGCTCGATAATCCGACCAATGAGTTGATCGTTCGCTGCCTCGTACAAAGCTCGGGTGCTGGTGCGATTGTCCATTTAAGCAAAGATATGGCGAAATTCCTTGATCACAAACACTTCAGTTCCAAACTACAGTTTTTCTAACAACAATTCACATTCAAGCATTTCCAGACAAGTTGTCGGAGTCCTCCAAGTCCAAACACGATTCCTGTGTCTCCAGGACTAGGTCCCAACCTCAGCCTGTCAGTCAAAGCAACTTACAACTTTTCTTCACTCATTTCCAGACAAGTTGTCGGAGTTCTCATTTGGACACCTCTCTTGTGTCTCCAGGACCTACTCCCAACCTCAACCTGTCGAGATATTCTCAAGCATTTCAAAAAACATGTCGTTTCAGGCAATCAATTGACTAGTTACCTTCATCACATGACCTTACAGCCAACATGCCCAAGAGAAGTGAAACAAAAAACATCACCTAGATCAAGAATACTCAAGCTCTTCGATGCCCTTGACTGTACACTGATAGTGTACCAACCTAGTGATCACTGCAGAACCTTAGTACAAGCTCAACACAGACCTAACGCTGAAATCCAGAAGCTCAACACAAACGATTCCAGCTTCACCTTACATGGTGTCCTTAGTACACTGCAACAAGGGTTAGTGGAGACTGCTAGCAGAGCTGCCTGCGCGCAGTAGGAATGGATTCTGGTAGTGTGATCCAAGGTGTGCAAGGTTGTCCTAGTATGGCTGAAAGAGGTAAAGGAAATGGTGGTTGTAACCGTGGTGACGGATTGCCACCTGGCACCGGAAATGGTGGTTGTAACCGTAGTGACGGATTGCCGCCAGTGCCTAGAACGCCTAGTCAGCAAGAGGCGATCTCGTCGCGTAGTGGTATAATGCCCGTCTCAGGACCGTGCATAGACAGCTAGCCGCGGATCGATTCCCCCCGGGTACGGGGCCGCGATCGTGACGTGGTAGACGAGTAAGTCTCAAAGTGGTGACCCGCCGAAAGGCACAGGGCGCCGGCCAAAAAAAATAGAACGCCTAGTCAGCAAGGTAGTGGATCTGGGATGGATAGACAAACACCTGAAAGCAGCAGCCACAGCAACAACAAGCAAATGTGTCACAGAGCGTACAGGGATTTGCGAGCACGACAAACCTGGATGCAGGTGGTCAAGAGGTCCGGTACAAGGATGTCAACAAAGGAAATGTTCCCGGAATGCAAGGACAGGGACCAGCATGGTGCGCAATGGATTCCCCAACAACAAACGTTCATGCAACAGAATTCGCAAGCGCGTGTGCCAAGTTATGGCTGTGCGAGTGTACCTAGTCCACCAAGGTCTGGAGATTTTTTCCAAACTGAGTGAACCCAATGAATTGCCGAGGAAACATGTCGGCGCAGATTCAGAGGTCATGGCCATGTTAGGTAATATGAGTGAGATT